GGGGGGGGGGTTGTTTATCTTATGGGACCCTCTTTTCATCAATTCGCACCTTCATCTCCGATCGCAAGAGGCTTATGAAGGAGGCCAGTTAGATGGAGGGAGTAATAGAAGGCACTCCTCTGACAAAATTTCCACTGCGCGTGCAATAAGCAATAAGACACATCAGAGTGATGAAGCCAAAATGAGCACAAGGGGAGAAGAAATCAGAGGCCGTGAGTTGCGCCATGCGCATGGTGCAATTGAACAAAAAGAAATCGTTAAAACTAACAAACCACCACATTTGTGTGTAGTCCCGAGGCCTGTCATTGTTAGCACATGACGATCACATTGCCAAAAAAGGGATAGAGAAAGATGAAAATGCGACTAGAGCAGAAGAAAGAGGTAAGAGATTTGACACAATTGGTGGTGCAATTAGACAATTGCACAATACGAGACCGATAATTGAGACAGAGGTAGAGGGCATATGCAAAGTCGTGGTTGAAGAGACGTGGGGTGAGACGATGTATGACCGTCTACACATAAAACATACGCACACACACACATACACAACTCATGAGTACAAATAATCACACACATACATTCTAATTATGTGGGCGACACTTGTTAGGGTAGAGCGAGAACTACTCATAGAGAAGTAGCTCTCTATCTCTCTCTCTCTCTCGTTTAATCGAGACGAGAAAGTTGCTCGCCATGAGAAACACGGCTAGAATAAACAAGTAGACTGAAATCAAGGAGAAATTGCCCACAAACAACGCACCGACGCCTCGATGCAACTACGGGGCGCGCGCGCGCGCACTCTAGCGCTCGTTCAACTCCACGTGATTCCACCTCAACAGTGTCGAATATCAGCCAGAAGATTTAACTCGCTCTCTCACTCTCTTCTACACTCCTAATTCCAACAAGCCTCTTTCCATCAAGTGGAATGATTGCGGATTCAGGGAAAGAGTGGGGTGAGGTAGTTAGAGAATAGTGGAAATACAAGTGGATCAAAATCAGTTGCTTGAAGCGCTGATTTGGGAATTACAGCCCGTCAGGAAAGGAGTGCGCAGAGCTTCAAATCTTCTTGCATATTCAGTTACAACACCCCCCAATTTAAATGGAGATAAAGAAACTGTTGGGCTTTGAGGAGAAATTCGCACTTTAAGGGGCCCATTTGGGCGAAGGGCATATCCACTAAAATTGGCACGTTGAAAGAAATGGCAACCACCTAATTTCGAAACAACTGAATTATCTGGTAGAATACCAAAACTGCCTTCAATCGTAATAAAGTAATACACCTTAATCAACGTTTCAATTGCAAAATACATACATTGTACATATTGTTTGATGGAACAAAGAGCGTACGTTGAACACATGGTAATAACGAAAAGCCACAAACATGCCAATAATGGGAATAAGGACAAGAGGCTAAATACGTTGTGGGGTCGAAGATATTTGGAAGGTATTAAATAGGGATATCGGGAGAAAGAAAAAAAGGGAAAGTGAAGAGGAAGGAGTGAGAGGTTGTGACCAACGGACGGCAGGTGTCCGGGCCAAACATTTATTGCCTAACTGCCCCCAGAGGTCACACGGACCTTACGCAGGACAGGGACGCAGTGTCATGTAGGCGTCCCCCACCCTCCCTCTCCTCCCCACCCACCCCCCATGAACATGGTGAAAAGACGACAATTTGCGTTTTCACCTTAACAGGGTATCGGCTCAAGGAGGCAGACAGGAGGAGGCGATGCGAGAGGAGGCGGCGGCGGCGAGGTTGACGTCACGCGCTCCCGATTCAATCGCGCTCGCTCTCTCCCAGCCGCCTCCAGTGCTCTCTCGACTGCCAACAACAAGCACAAAGGAAGAAGAAGAAGGGGCACTGGGGCACGCACACACACACACAGTTGAACTTCATTAGCAAACCAACTCTGCGTACGCGCAGGCAAGAGAAGTGAGGGGGCCAAGTAAAAAGGCATGCCGAGGAAGGCCACGTGAAGGTGCATGATTGATCTTCACTGGAGGATGACCCGTTAAAATGGAGAGGTGGAAAAAATCAACTTCACAGTGAAAACCCCTTACAACTTTATTCTACCTTCAAAATTACTTCCCGAAGAAAGATAAAGCCATACGAGAAGACAAATTAGACGAATGCGATTGATGGCAAGTAAAAGGAGAGAACAAATTTATGGTGACAAATTCATGCTCACTTTCAGTTGTATTTGCAGGTAAGAGTGAGTGACCGATCTGTCTTCTCATTTGGGAAAAGACCGAGCAATTTCTGCTGGGTAAACGTGAAATCCCATACATTTATTGGCCAAGTGTAAGGAGTCAAATGTCCAAACGTAGTGACCTTGAAAAACAGCTACTTTAGGACATTAACTGCCAATTCTAAGGCAACAAGTGGGCTCAAATTGACGTGAGAGTGAGGAAGTCACAACTCACGCAAGTGACATAACACACTCCAAGCGACGTGGCTGTAACCTATTCTAGAGGACAACAATTATTACAGTTAATTGGTAGTTGGCGAATGTGGCATTAAGTGACCGCAGACCACTCCACCATTCATTAAGAATCTCGTAGTGGACTTTATGCACTCACACAAAACACGCACGCACGCACACACAGTGAGCTGTGAGTTTGCCCACAAATCTCCTAAATCTCCTCGGCTCATTCCAAATGATTATGTTACAAACTGTAGGAGCCACACCTTGAATCCCAAACTCCCCACCAGCTCAGCAAACCTGAGCCAATTAACCAACATCTTCCAATTTCTCATCGGTAGACCCTCCGACGACCCCATAACTTTAGATCACCGCTTGCAATCATATAAAGTTGTAAATAACTCATGATAGAGTTAGTGCGAATGGGAGATGCATACCTTCATTTCTTTTCCACTACTTGGATAAACTGCTTCATCTTATCCACCAGACTACACTCCGAGTCCACTGCGTCAGGAGTGTGCAGCCTTCTTTGAAGATGGAGGGGACAACTGTCATTGCATGTCAGTTTGGACCACGAAGGCATTCACGCAACAAACTCTGACAACTTTAATTGAAGTCAGTTACCACGAGAGAACAGGTGCAAAAGAGTTTCCAGCTAGCCTTCCAGTTGCGAGCCTCCACGTCTACTCAATTCCTCCCATCATTTCACCACTTCCTGACTGCTCACTTTTCGCCTTCCACTAATAGCAAACTCACATTCAACTCAAGTCTAAGTAAAATGAACAGTCTCACTTGCGCACGTTAGGACGTGGCTTATCCACGTGCCAGTTTTAAAACATGATCTTTCATTGGAGTTATAGAGAGTGAGTGCGAAAATTGGGCCTTGAAGCATACAAAGATCTCTAATAGCAGATTTATTGTGTTTTTGATCCGAATTCAGCAGTACGGAATAATCTACCACATTACACACATTTTTAAGAGGATACGACTCCATTCAATGAAGTCGTATGCGAAGAGGCGGTGACAACCTTTAACAAGCACGAGAACAAGTCATTTGACTTTGACACCAAACACCCATAGATCAAATACCCTCATCTCCCTCTCCAAACTTATTTGTCAACTAATGTGGAGACGAAAAATATTAAAAGATTAGTGGTTATTACACAATACGCTGGCTTAGAGAAAACGAATTTCAAGTGAGAAAATAGGATGAGATGCCTAATACCATCTCCTTTATTCGTAAACAATAATTATAAGAATGAAAATTTCCAAAGCCACAATTTCGAGTAGCCTTTGTACTCATTCATTAACGAAACTGCACTTTATCAATCAACAATACTACTCGAACTATGTCGAAGCACCACACGCACACGAAGGAGGAAAGAAGAGAAAATAGAAGGAGAAATGTTTTTGAAATTAAAATCAAAACCCATTTTTTATATTTAATCGGAGCAAATTAGAAAGTGAATAAATGGGAAATTTAAAGGAATTATAGGAGAGGCACATGCACTTGAAAGGATCTTGACACCAAAAATGTCTGAGCCTAGGTTGTGAACTTGCTGGTCCATTTCCTTCACTGGACGTGTGCATCACAAGGGTTTTGGCCGCCAACACGACTAAGTAAGAAAGCAGGAAGCGCGGCAAGAAGACACAGGAGGAGGAGGAATCGGTTCGGAGCGACAAAAATTGGAGATGACAAGAACTCAACCACCTCCTCCCACGCGCACTGCAATACAAGTCTCGACGAGACAGATGAGCAAAGTTGTCAGAGTGAAAGTGGCATTTGCTGTAATTTGTGGCTCTTTCTAACGCTTAAATGAGATGCCTGCAATTCCAATCGCTAGAAAAGTCGAGCAACAGTTGAATTTGTAACACCAATAAACAAGTAGGTTGCATTTCAAGTAATGAGTAGATGGCATCTCAGGAGAAAGCACTGCTTGATGAAAATTAATACTTTATGCGAAAAAGTGCCTCGAACTTTTATCGCTGTAATGACCTTCAATTGTGATTTGGTGAACTTTAAAAAGACCTCCGTTAGAGCAACAACCACTGAGGCTCCTCAACTGCGACATCGTGTGTTACTTTTTTAGCAGAAGAGCGATCGATAGGGAAAGCGATTGTGCAAAAGTGAATTTACTACGAGTCCTCTTTGCTCTCAAGCCCTTTTCCCCCGGTTTCAACCCCTCCCCCCCCCCTCCACCCCCAGAATGATGGGCCACTGGAGGCGTTGAAGGGAGAGTGAGTGAGAGATAATCTTCACAGAGCAGGGAGATGTCTAGCTAGAAGTAGGAGACATTACCCACGGTGAAGGAGATGGTGACAGCATTGAGGAATTAGCTGTCAATTTTACTTAACATGAGCTGCCATCTCAAATTACCACCATCAACTTATAGCGGTCATAAGGTCACAAGTAATGAGCTCAAATCAACTCCATTCTGAAAGGATTTGGAGACGATGACGCAGACGAGCTGGGTTGTTATGACGTCAATGATGACTGTGGAAATTTGCAAGACTCTCTGTTTTATTACCAAAAATGATGTTGACAGTGTTTCAGGGTTTGGTGCACACACACACACACAGCTGTCACAAGCCATGACGGATGTGATTCATCGAATGCGCGTGTGTGGAGGAGACACGAGAGAAGCCTACCACCCATCAAGAGACAGAGAGAGAGGGCGAGAGAGAGAGATTACAACTGCGTCATGTAGTAGCAGGCAAGCTATGGAAGCGATAGTTGCCACATTAGACCCACCAAATTTTTATGATCGCGACTAGAGACTTAAGCCACAAGTTAAGATGAAATGGATGGCTTGTCTTTTGTTTTAGTGCAACAGCATCTGAAGTGCTTCAAAAACTACAGTAATTCGGAGGCATTAAATGGAGACGATTGTGTTACAAGGGCAATGAGTGCGACTCAACGAGAATGGAAGAACAGGCACAAAAAGAACTCTCCTTGAGACACTCTGGGAGAGATCTCCAAGACACCATAAAGGGGTCTCCAGCGCTTACAACACATGTCATTCATTAGACTTCTAATCCCCTCTTGAGCAAATACATGCAATTTAGCGATCTTTCTGGGAGTCAAAAATTTAAACTCGATCGTCTGACAGACTATGCGAGAACATTAAATGGAAACATGACGACGACCATTCAATGGTACATGCCATCAAAAATTCGCATGTATTAATTTTTTTGCCATCAATTTTTTTGACCAATAAGCTTGGCGAACACCTTTAAGAGAACTACAGAAAGGAAAGAACGGCACTCACCTATATTGGGATGATTGAGCTGTTTCATGACATTGACCTCGCGGAAGAGCTGAAAGGGGGGAGAGGAACATGAAGGACTCTTGCAATGCAAATTAGGTAGGCCAGCCCCTCATTATACACCTTCATCGCACGCGCGCGCGTTATGCTAATTCTCTAATACCCCACCACCACACAAATTTAGAACAATCGCAACACACACAAAAATGTCTACGAGGAACACTCCAAAACTTTAATTCAATAGCAAAGAAGGCACACAAATGTTTTTTATGCTTTAAAATTTCTTGCACAGACATCAGTAAATTTTGGCGGCTCTGAGTCTTCTAATGGATGCTTTCCTTCACTGCGTTACTAGATGATTCCATGAACTTCTGTCATCTTATGCTGCTAGAAATTCGTAAATCCCTCCTCAGAGATAAATCACACTATGTGAAGACCAATCTTAAAATTATACCCTAACCCTAAAGTGCTTGGAAGTGGATCTTGAAAACATCCCAGGTGTTGCAATAAAAAGAAGAAATCACCTTTGGAGTGCTGCAATACGTGTCATGGCACTTCTCTCGAACCCCCCCCCCCCCACCACTAACGTAAGTCAACCAGGATGGTTGCAGGAACGCTCACTCCAGCAGTCTTCTCTGATAGACTTCGAGATCGATCTTTCGACTCCTATCTCAGCATATATTGAAGTCCTATAGTACCTTCTTCTTCATACGATGCTGCATCGCGATTTTCCAGGCGAAATTCAATATTTTCCAGCAATTTCTGATGAAAGTGAAGCTATGGATTAAATCAGTCAACAAAACGTTGCCTTAACACAAATATTCATTCACCGTTTGGGGGTTTTAGGTCTTAATTTCCATGAGCAAGTAATTAGGCACCCAGATGACCCTCTTGCCACACTAGGCTGGCATGAAAGAAATTGAACAAAGAAAGGAGAGAAGAGATAATCAATAGATGAACTCACTTTACTAAGACTAGCATGATTGAGTTTGCCCTTGTCGATCACTTTCACAGCGACCTGAAAGTCAGAGAACAAAAAAAACCAGAGTCAAAAAAGTGTAGAAGAGAGAATAGGCACTGTGTGTCTGTGTGTCTGGCATTCCTTTGCTTTCCTCACAGGGGTTACAGGTAGGGAGAGAGAGATAAGTAGATGGCCTATTGACAAAAGACTGAGCCTCCAAAAAACCCACCAATTCCAGAAATCAATAATAACAAATAAAAAATGTACGATTGACCAGAACATTATGTAAACCCCCCCCCCATATTTAATCCCTTTAAGCAAATATAAAATTTTCATACATGAAAATTCGATTTTCTAGGATATCAGATATTCGTTTTAACCAACATGAAAGATAATAGAGTAAGTGAGTAATTTGAGCAGCGATCAAAGGACTCAAAATGCGCAAAAATCATGCGTGCTGTGCCAAGTAGAATGCAGAGGGGGGGGGGGGAGATTAGGGAAGAAAAGTCGAAGCAAATTTACCCCTTTAACAGTACATTCCAATCAAAGTAAGGAAGTACTTGAGTTGGCATAAAATTCTGAATTGCTCAACATGTGAGGCAACATTTAATACTGAGGTGGGGAGAGAAGTGTGAAGGATATTGCAAAAATAGAGAAAGAGAATGCGACGGTTAGCATTGGCAAATAAGTTGCATCTTCTGATGCGAAACTCGCATTTTTTTTGTTTAAATCTCAAATGGCCTTTGGGAATATCACATCACATAACTTTCAACTCTGAATTTGTAGACGATTGAGAAAAAAGACTCACTCCAAGAAGTCTGTTTGAGAGAATATTGATTGATGACCCTAATGTAAGGAAGGAGAGAAAATGTTGAGTGGAGCGCATTGTAGATTACAAAGACGGCGGGAGTGAGAAAGTGACCTTCCGATACCACCACCATCTTCTGCAGCGAAGGAACTGAAGACACGTGCATCTCCTCAAAGGTCCATTCTGCGTGATGGTAAATGCGACTAATTCCGAATCCTCAATAGCAGCTTGCGATAGCATAGCACAGTTCGTTTAAATTAAGGATTAGCCAATGCATTGTTTTAAATTAAGTTAGAGGGATACGCATCAAAACAGCATGAACAATCCAATAGGCATTAGCCAACAAAGTGCTCGAAGATACAAGTCGGAATCCTACTTTCTATTTCAATTCCTCATTTAATTTCAAGCACTGTAATTGTCCTAGTGGAACAGAATGGACCTCCCCCCCCCCCCCCAGCGGATTCAATCCAATCAGAGTGGGACTGAGAAAGGATAGGATAATAAACGAATTCACCTAAAGGTTATCAGGGAGAAATATGTGAAAGAGCTATTTTTAGAAGGGAAATTTGTGAACTATCTAAGTGGGGGGTGGGGGGGGGGAAGATATGTGGGCAGTAAACACACACACATCAAGTCCCTTGCGTGATGTGGAAGCAGGGTGGACACACATCGCCAATTTCGAGCCGTTCAATTTGCTCATTAGATAAGTGTTAGAGATTAGTAGATAGTCAATAACTGACTGATGGAATTTAAAAAATAGCAACCAGAGAGACAAAAAAATTTGAGAACGCAGGAGGAAAAGGATTCTATTAAAATGGCCCCTCTTTTTTCAATCTACATTCGATCTATACTAGGTGTACTTCAGTTGCCTAAACTGGTAAAAAATAGTGTATCGCAAATAATACGCAAATGAATGGAAGAAAAAATGTGGAAAATGAAATAACTCGAACCTCCTTTTTTGTGGTGATGTGCTGCGCCAATTTGACCTTGGCGAAATTGCCCGATCCAAGGGTACGAATGAGTTTGTACTTGCCCACATGGGGCTGATCTCGCCAGGCCCTCTTGGCAGGTGGTGGAGCCCCGGCAGGAGTGTCACCGGCAGCAGCTCTCTTCTCTGCAGCTCCCGAACTTCCACCTCGAGGAGTCGAGGTCTCTCCTCCCCCTTGGAGTACAGCGGCGGATCCCTTCACTCCAGTTTCAGCAACCGTCTCCTCTGATGTTGTCGTCGTCGTCGTCGTCGAGGCAGCAGCAACACCTGATTTCGTCCCATCAGGTGATGCTGCTGCTGCTGAAGCCGATGTGCCCTCTTCATCACATCCAGACGAAGAAGTCTGCTGAGGCCGCACCGACAATGGCAGACCATTCTTAAGAAGAGAAGGAAGAACATTAAGACAATCATAAAATTTGACCTCGTCCCTCCAGATATGAGAAATCCTGGCAACTAACAATAAGGCAATGCCAGTCTATGAAAGGCTAAAAAAGATATTCTTAAAACGTAGTTAAGTAATCTTCGTATACTCATCGAGTAGGCGCGCAGGCTATTCTGTGAAGGAGTAGGCATGAAAGGTGATAAACGTCAAATGGAAAATGATCCCAACATGTCAAAACGCCAAACCTAACGAACATTATGCCAATCGAATACTAACCTCGTGTGCTCTCCACTGATATATTGGAATGCACAAAGCTGAATCTCTCATTATGTCTGAGTTATATTAATAACATGAACTACAAAAATCGAAATTTGCTATCAAAAGGAGTAGATAAAAGCGCAGTAATTGAACGGGTCACCACCCAGCCCCCCCCCCCCCCCCCCCCCCCACCCACTCTGCATGCATCCAGGATCAAGAAATCCTTCCGACCGGCTCCAAAGAGGTGGGCATTAATGAGGCGGAGGCTGCGATGGCTATTGCTGCCTAACAGATGGGGAAGCGAAATATGATTCGTTCCACAAGGTTTGAGGAAAATTTTTAAACATTTACCCATAATATGCTTAGAAATGCAACAACTTATTACAACCCACGAATTTTAAGACGGCAAAACTGAAAATCCGAGAGAAATACGACACCTCGATTTAAAAATGACATTATTCTTCCTTTACTGTGGGTACCTAAAAGGATCTTTTCCCTTTATTTATTAAATTATCGCAAAACAAATTCGAAACCAGACAATTGCGAAAAATTAGTCAAACAAGGAGGCATAATGAGTTCCAACAAGTTATCTATTTCTCAAGCTGTTCAATCACCTAAATCGTGGAGGGGGAGGTAATTAGACTTACGGAAGCAGTCAAAATTTCCTCGAGGGATTTTACATCAGAGCGAGAGAGGGGGGGGGATTTGAACTCGCATGATAAAGTAGGTTAAAACCTCCAATGCTAAGGAATTATTTACCACCAACTCTCGCCCCACTCCACAGCACCTTTTTATCCGCTCCTCAAAAACTTACCGAACATCGGGTGAGGCCACATGGAGAGCGGAGGCATAGACTAAAAACGCAATGACTACTATTTCCCTGACCTCTAAATGGTACTTTTAAGACTGTGCTTTGTAAAAGCAAAGACAACCGAATATTTATCTCCCAAGATTTTTTACATTAACCATCCTGGAATAAAATGAAAACGAGAAACGATAAAGAGAAAGTTCTGAAAGAAATTTGAATTGAAAAGTAGCGGCTCGATTAAAGAACTAAAAGAAGTACTAAGCAGAAATAAAAAAATTCGGAAAATCATATTAAGGAATCAATGAAGCAATAAAATTTTCAAGATAAGCCAAGGATACTACGCGAAAATCTGACACATGTAGCAAACACAAACTCGTATAAAATACGCCAAGGCATTGTATAAATATACAGCAAACAAGTTTAAAAACTGCAAAATTAGAACCCACGAGAGTATTTGAGGTATCCACTGGCTGAGCCGATATCGAACTTGTTGCAGCAGACATCAGGGATTCTAAAGCAATAAAAATTCGAGTGGGTAATAAAAGTGAAGAACAGAGCTCAACGCAGAATATGTTCTTCATTGTTGGGATAAAACCGCAATACTATAGATAAATCTAAGCTATAAGTAAACATTTATTTCGCTTGGAAAAAATTCGAACAAAATTGATTTTTAATGCATTCAGAAGAAATGAACGATACTCGAAAGAGATCGATAGAACAATTCACATCTTTATATTTTACGGACAAATGTCACTAAATTAACAAGCAAATTCCATAAAGCATGATATAATTGAAAAAATTAGATAAATATAAGCACCTAGTAGTTAGAACATCGCAAAAAAGTATAATTGAAAAACTAAGAGGATTAAATTAAAACTTGTTAACTGTAGGATCAAATAAAAACCAACTATTTATTTACTCCAAACATACCAATTAATATGAAGATTAACATAGAAAATGAGAGACCAAATGGAAAATCCAAAAGCTAAATTATATAAAACCAGAAGACAAGTCTTTAGTTGCTCCTAACATGAAATCCAAAGGGTGTAGTCATTAAAAGCAAAATATTAAGTAATTTTATGCAGTTGAAAATACAGGAATACTCACATAAAATAAGACCATTAAGCAAATCCAATAATATCACTTCAGAGAAGGCTCTTACAGAAACCGCCCTTGAGAAAATTTACATACCTATAAACAATGATATCTATTTAAATTTTAAAAAGATATAACAAATAAATGGCCTAATATAACAGTGATATATATTTTAATTTTTATTACATATAAATATATTGAATATTGCACACTTTAAAATATCTAGCATTGAATAATAGTATTATTGTAACGAAGAGAAATTATCTCTTGAAATTGTTCGTTTCTTCTTTTGACAATTTCCGGAAAAAAATGAAATAGTAAGAATCATTTATCTACTTTCCTTGTCAAAGTGGTTTAGAACTTTTTCGCATATTAATTAAGGATAATATTTATTTATATCAAATGGCAGACTTTATGATGGTTATCAATAACCCTTTGGTTAAACTTGGGCATCAGGGAGAGGTAAGGCTTCAGTGTCGCAGAAATTTGAGAGTTTGAACAGATTAGTGTTTCCCAAATGTGAGAGGGACAAACACTAGGGTAAGGAAACAGGTAACGCGAGTACATGGAAGTAGTTGAAGGTGACACACAGTCGGTCGTGATGTAAGTTAGTTTGAAGTAAACTGCCGGTTTATAGACTTTTTTCGTATGTGTATACGGTACCCAAGGTTCACCACTTGGAGGTAAGTCTATCGTTCATCCCATATAGGATATTATAAACCTGTATATATGGCTTAATATAACAAAGTCAAATGTACCAAAAGTCATTTAACTCATTATTCATTGAGATTTAAATAATTTATTTTTGTTTTCAAGTTTTTAATTAAATGTTAAAATTAGTATTAATTTTTTTATTTTATGGGACACCCGGCAGCCATTAACTGCGATATAAAATAAACAGTGCTTTATCTAATACCTTCAGAAAAACATGAGAAATACTACTCTTTACTATCTTTTTTAAATATTGCTAAGTGAAGATATTTCAATAAAATTCATGCCATCATGGAACAGAAAATTAAATTTCAGGTGAATTTTAAAGAATTAGCATTTTGATTTATAGTTTTCTTAAACAGTTTGAGACGAAACGATTTAATGACGAAGACAGAATTAACAGGAAATTTTAATTGATAAAATTTAAGTGATTACTGCTCCTTCATTTCTAATGACATGTGGAAAATATTATTTTATTTTAATATAATAAAAAACTGTTATCTTAATGTCTTTAGGAAACATCGTGTTAATGAATGGAAATATATTAAATGTAAAGTCTTTTCTTGGTATTGTGATTATGAAATTGTAGGTAGCTTGTAAATTAATGAAATAGCCCAAATTCCTAAGCTTGTAATTAGCAGATATTTAATTTCGTGAGAGTGAATCGTTTGCCAAAGTAAACGACGTCTCATGATGTTAAAACATGAATCTAAATCGGCATTCCACCCCCCGTTTGTATTTAAATAACTGGAACCCAATGTGCCAAGAAAGTAGGAATTCTTCACAGATGAGAGAGAACATGAATGGGAAAATTAGACAGAATAGAAAAGGTTCAATGGGAAAAATTATCTACGCATGTGAGGTACACTTTATGACTCAACAAAAAAATGACATCGTATTTTATGTACCAAAAAGTATTAGCAACTACAGAAATGACTTAAATCCACGGCAATCGACTTTCGGGTATCCTCAATTATTTGGAAAATACATAGATAAATTTTTAAAATATGTATTTAGTTAAAAATAATCATAATCAAACAAAGAAAATATTTCATGAGAAAATCTAATTTAAATCAAAATATATATTGAAATAATTTTTTCAAATAATTTAATAGTCTAAATGAAATTAAAGTCTGCATTAAACTGTGATTTGCTATTTTAGTTGAAATTTGTTTAGATTCATACACTGAATGTCCCATTTTTTAAAATTTCACGGTCTATGGATAGCTCGCGTTCGAAGACAAGTGAGGATTCATCTTTGAACAAGCCTCTCGCAGTCCATAAGTTTGTTCCCTCACGCCCGAAAGTTGAGCTACTAGATGGGCTTGCTAAACCAACCATATAGTAAGCCTATTCGGTCTTTAATTTGTCAATATTACAGCAATGTTGTGTCATCTGTAGATTTAGCTTGCCCAATCGAATTAAGGAAGGTCGTTATGTTTATCAGAAATGCTGAGTATAACCCAAAAAGATTTACAGGTTGCGTCATTCGACTTCGTGAGCCTCGGGTTACCTGTTTACTTTTCAGTACTGGCAAAATGGTGACTACAGGCGGTAGATCTGAAGAATCAAATAATTTAGGCGCCAGAAAATGTGCCCGTGTAATTCAAAAGCTAGGATTTCCCGTAAATTTAGCTGTTAATCTATTATGAATTTGTTTAGGTTCAGTTTAACAATTTCCGAATTCAAAATGTTGTTGGCATTGTGGACTTAAAATTTCCAATTCGATTAGAGGGTTTGCTCATGGCCAATGAACAGATGGCGCAGTAAGTTATTATTAAATGTTTTCATCTCTTTGCTGCCTTTAGTAAAACTTATTTTTTTTAGATATGAGCCCGAGATCTTCCCGGGTCTGATCTTTCGGATCATTAATCCGAAATTGGTTTTCCTTATTTTTGTCAATGGTAAAGTCATTATAACAGGTACTAACACTGTTTAATTTTTTTAAAACAGTGATATCTTACCATTTTTCTTGAATTTTCTTTTTTAATTTTAGGTGCCAAGTCTGTGGAAATGATTTATGAAGCTTTGAACAAAGTGTATCCAGTTTTGCTAAAATTCAGGAAAATGGCTTAACTTATCCCCGTGATACGAATTTTTTTTATTTTTGTATATTCTGTAAATTTTTGTGGTCAATGCTTTTCTGTACTTTCATAATTTCAAATGTGTTTTCCCCACTAATTTTTCTTCTCTATTTCTTTTGGGAAATTCATTTTTTGCCTAACTGTTGGTGTGCCTAACAGCTAAATTTGATTAATATGTTGGTTAAATTTTATGCCTGTGTGATTGAGTTTGTGTAATTTTTCAAGTAATTTTATGCGTCAGTAGTCGACAACGGACTGAGATTATACCTTGTGGAGCGGTTTGTTGTATCCGAATGTGTCAATTGATCGAGCAATGTTAGACATTCTCTGCATCTTCGTCTTGAAGCTATTTGGTCGACACAAAATCGTCGTAAAATTCAAGGCGTAGTTATTGAATGTCTTCGGTTCTTCTATTTAGCCTTCCAAATTACATTTGTGAGTCTAGACGGCGGTTTGTAAAATGTTCTGTTTTCGTGGCTAAAGAATGATCAACTCTCACTTTTCTCATCGCCAAAATCAGCATTCGCACTGACGTGGGCTTCGGGCAAATCAGTGCAGCGTTAAAGATTTTTTTGCGAACTTTTGTAGAAAATGAAAAAATGCCTACACAATCGATAATGTCATTGTTTCATTGGCCTAATTAATGGCTGCTATAAGTTATTTGCAGTATTGGCAACAGTTTCTGTGGAATTCTCTTCAGAGAAAGATGTAAAAATGGAATACAATAGGCATAGTTTTCTGAACTGCGTATCAGACGCTCTCAAGTTGGCTTCGTCATCCCGAAGATTGAACAAGTTGGGCCCTCCTTGTGTTCAAGAGGTCAGGCAAACAGGAAATAACGAACCATAACGAGTAAACAAATCATGGTTTAGCCTGGTTGATGGCGTCTTTGACAACTGGACAACTTGACAAATGGAAAAGGAGGAAGGTAAAAAATTGAATGGAAGGTGGAGGCGTCGATATGTCCGGTTTGCGTGAGACAGGAGAAATCAATGAGTTTTGGACTTTTAAATGCGCACGTGTGTGTTTGAGTCATCCTATTATTTTGAATAGTTAATCAGAAACCAATAACTGATAGTTTGGTATGGGTGCAAAGTAGACCCCTGATACCGATAGTGAAGATCGTTCGTGCCATCAAGATGCAGTTGTTATGTGTCGTAAAATGTTACGCCAGCTTGTCTACGTGCTGATCGCAATTAATTCCGGTAAGTGTAGGTCATGCTGATTTGACGCCACTGGGTTGGTGAGGTATTGCACGATTGTAATCAGCCCATGTTGTTCATGGGTTTAATGAGAAAGCATTATTTGCGTAGAACGGAGATGACGAGGAGGGATACATTATGAATAAGATGGTCTGCATATTTTGATTTGAGCACAATAAGGTTCGAAAGGGACCTTCCGACATTAGACCAAGTTGAACCCATGAAAGCACTGAAGAGTTAGCGCTGAACAGTTGGTTTAGACAAGAAGAAAGAAGAGGAACTGATTTGTCACCAACGGCTGCACGTCAATTGAGTCCAGATGCACGTGTACTCAACAGCAAAGAATGGATCCTCTTAAGAAGCATGACCACCATAGAACATATGATTTTCTCAAGGCTAAGAGAAAAATAGGGGGCTTTAATAAGTGAAAAGACAAAAATATGAATTTAATATGTGTCCATTCGACAGGTTGCAATGAATGAAGTGGGAAATGACAATGGAGTAGGATGAAACGAGTGCGTGGCGGGAGGAGAAGCGGTTGGGGGGGGGGGGAATTCATGCTGCGTGAGGAAAATCCGATTTATAAGGAACGAATGAGGAGAGGTGGAGAAGGCAGTTGGCCAAACACACCCTCTTTGTGAATTAACGAGTGTTGACGATTTGAGCAGGAACATGCTCCATTAGGTGCAATTTTTAGAAGAACGGAGCATTGGCTATGACATAAACATCCTCGACCTTCCCTGAATTACTTCCCAACGTTGTCCATTCGTTTGTGCGAATAGTTTAATGCCTCTTAAAACATATTAGCTGCTTAACAATCATGGCAGTGCAAAAAAGTACAAGATTTAAATATGGGCATCCAACGAAATAAAAGGCACTTAAACAGGTAGAGAGGGATGAGGGGGTGACGAGAAAATGCAGGTAATGAAACCGAACCCGCTAGACTCATGGAGTTAAGGAGATGTTCAAATTCCTTTGACTCATTGTGTTCTTCTATTTGCGAGACTGGAATACGCTGATTGGTTGATTGGTGATTCCACCTCAATGCTAAGAAAGTAAAAAAGGTTTTAAGGCATTTTTTGCGTCGATGAGTGTTTACGCTCTACTGAAGTTGAGTGTGTGGGAAATTGCTTCTAATAAATACAAGTAAATACAGGACCAAATTAAGCTCATTTGAGAGTAGAGCAAGGTAATTACTCTGACTAATTGCTACTCATATTTCTAGAGTAGAGCCTTGAAAAGCAAAGAATTGAGGAGAAGGAAAGAAGAGTCGTTCGAAATTGAGATCAAAGTGCCCCTCTCCCTACGGCACTATATCCTCAACAGTAGGGAAGAAGTAGACGTGTGACGTGAAACCGTTTATTTGGACTGTGTAAATGGCACGAAACTGCAGTGGCCACATCATGACTATCTATTATTAATTGACATAGAGTTTTCCACACTCGAAACCTCATTTGATTTCAAGTGGAACAACACCACTCCTCGCGTTCTAGGACACACAACTAAGCAAAGGACATTCCTGATTCGGAAATTAAATATTTTTAGCTGTATTCTAAAATTACAACATTGTTTCTATTTAAGTTGCTATACAAGAAGAAAACTATTCATCATTCCTTAAAGTTAGGAAGTTACTTCCAATTTAACATTTATATAATGTATTTGTGTATTCATTATCGAAATGTCTAACCAAATTTTTAATGGAAAGAATTATTCCAATTCAATTAGAAGATTACAAGGATTCAACCTTTACCGCCCACTTTATGCTAATTTGAAATAAAATTTGGGCATTTGGCGAATTGACAAAGCAATACAATAATGACAATAACGATTAACTAAATATTATATTAACTATTTAGCTTCCCACAAAAAACACACTGAAACTATAAGTTTAAAAATTAATATATCAAAGTAAAGCTATCATTAACAAATATATAAATTATAGAATACTAAGTTCGGTAACAAATTGATTAGTTTAGGACCATATTAATCACTGCTAAAAAATATAAAAAATCTAGAAGACGAATAATTAAAAATATTTGAAAACAATATTTTATAACTTGATTTTAATAATATATACGTATTTATTAATAAGTATCCTATGCAACATGAGCATTAACTAATGAAGAGTTTTAATGACCTATTTTGACTGTCAAGCGCTCACTTTGTAGATATCGTGTAGTAGTAATGGTTTGTTGCTTTGCATTTGCTTTATAATATACTTAGGCTAAGCGTACGAAGAAAGTTGGAATTACTGGCAAGTACGGCACACGATATGGTGCCTCGCTGAGGAAGACCGTCAAAAAAATTGAAGTCAGTCAACATGCCACCTACAACTGCAATTTCTGCGGCAAGGAGGCTCTCCGAAGGAAGTCTGCTGGAATCTGGGCTTGCAAGCGATGTGGAAAGCAAATAGCAGGTGGAGCCTATGTCTGCAGTACCGCTGCTGCTGCCACTACTAGAGCCGCTATTCGCCGTCTTCGTGATACTATAGCGGCATAATTTTTATAATACATCTTCTTTGGTGAAGTGCCTTGTATTACTTGGTGTCTTTTGATTAAGGGTAATTTGGTTACTTTTGGTTTCCTGGCTTATAATTTTGAAATATTCGGATGATTTTTTGGTTGTGTAAAATTAATGGCCTTTGGAACAAGAAAACAATGTTCTAAACAGTGTTTCCACTTTGCCATGTTAGTTCATTTTCTTTCGGTTATGAATTGGTTTCTATTGGTTTTATGAAGTTTTTACACAATAGGCGTTCGTCTCCTTGTTCAAGTATTTGATTTACCATGTCAAATGGTAGGTTTTATGTCATTTATCATTAGCCCTGCTAGGTCTTCGTAGATATGAAATATCCTATAGCCATTAGCAGTGATTTTTAAAAGGTTTTGTTATGCTAAGAATAAAGGTAACTTACGCTGCTTCTTATGTTCGTTTCAGAAGACCATGAGTTTGGCCAGCTTTAAGCCTTTTTTATAGGCAAAGATGTAAATTAGGCTGCCGATTATAAAGTTATGAGGTTTATTTGATGTGAATAGAAATGCCTGATTTGCTTGAATTCTTAGCCGTGCAATGGCCTCTTTAGCGTAGGGTGTATAACTGTTTCTGTGCCAGGTTTTAAAATTAATTATTCATAAATAAAAACGTGGGTCAGGCTGTGGTTTATAAAGCTATGGGTTTATATGATGTGAATAGTGGTATTAAGCGCAGGACTCATGGGGCTTCCAGTTGCATCCGCCGTCCCATCACCAGATGAACCTCCACGTGGTGCTCTGGGTAACGTATACTCGTTCGGCAAAAGTCCGCAGCTGACTTCGAACTACCATGACCCGATTCTGCCTTATTTGACCACTTCCATATTTCTCATCTCATCTTTTTCTCTTATCACTCTACCTGTCTCTTTTACATCTATGATTCACTCTTCTGTTTCTCCTCTCGAAATTTTCTCACTGATGTTCCTCCCTTCTGTGAAGACCGAGGAAAAATTAAAGAGCTAATGATAACTACCAAAACACCTGCCATTCGATATAAATAAATATGAAGCTAATAGAAATGTCTGCGAGTTGTGAGTTCCTTTATCGCAGAAGTTTGGTCTATTTCTGTGATGTGTTTGGCAAAGGTGGTAGGGTCTGGTAGATATACGTATTCACTCGCGTGCTGCCACTTTTTTACCAGCCCATTTGCACAAGCAGATTCCGAATGGAAGTGCAGTGTCATTTGCCTGAAGGCTTTGCCGTGCAATGGCCTCTTTAGCGTGGTTGGTAGATCTGGAGCATATTGTGTGGACACCAAAGCGGAGGTGAAGTATTTAACTAACAGGAGGTGTGCATTTTTGCTGTTGGCACGCAACAGCTGATGAAAAGTAGAACATATTTCAAGGAAATACAGTTGGGAAGGATGACAGGTCTGAGATGAGGCCTTAGCTTTAATTCAAAAATGGAAGCAGTAGGAGTTGGAGTAGTTATGCGTTAAAAATTGCGCTTGTGGGAAGTAGTTCTGGTTTTTAAGACATTCGGTACATAGAGTTGGTGGCAACATGTCTTTTCACAACACGAGCAGGTCCATTCGTACTGATTTGGAAAAAAGCGAAATCAAACCATCGAGAACGGCTAATGAATTGTTCAATAAACAAATACTTTTGTTTTAAATAGACCCAAGCAAATAGCATGATAAGTGAAAATGGTAAAAAAACAGTTTCATTAACGAGGGATTTAAGTTTGGAAAAAGGCCTTAAAATAAAATTGCAATTCACCACGCATTTTCAAAACGAAAAGAAACGTAAAAGCGAAATCAATAAAAACCGTATATTTTTTATGAATCCAGTGTTTGTGATTGATTAAATAAAGTAGCTATATAAAAGAAGAGGCAAAATCAACATAGGTAATCAGATATAGAGATTGAGGAGTCTTCTGGTGAACGTGCGAATCTTAATTGAGAATTGTACGCTCACTAAACACACGCTCGCGTTGGGCTTCAATACGACCTTTCCAATTTGATTGTTGATCTGGGACTCGATTCACAACTGCAGTAGACCCGGACGAGCTCTCACGATTTCCGCGTTGCTCATCTATGATGCAAAAAATGGAACAGAAGTAGTTGTGTTTATGGAAGTGAGACCGTTTATTTCAGTTCCAATAATATTTGTTACCTTGTGAAGACGTCGTGTAACTGCGAAAAGTTCTAAAAGTCTTCGAGGGTGAAAATGAACTTTGGGTCCCATTTAGAGGATTATTTCTTCCCCTTGAAGATAAGAAGGACTCTATAATGAGCATAAACAGGAGATAAATCGAGAGCGTCGACAAAATGACGACAATCATGATCACGACCACTTTGATGGTTGCGGTGTTCCGAACTTGGTACTTGCAATCGCAGTAGGGACAAAGATCTGATTTATCTTCTAACATGATTTGACAAGTACTAAAACTTTATTAAATGAATAATACGAAGCTACCATTTATCAGAAGGAATAGACTTTACATAAACAGATCTTTTCGGTTCTGAAGAAGATTCATTTGATACTTTAAGGACTGAGTGGTCTACACAAACGCATTTGCATCGAGCGTCTTCGTAAGTTGCTTCAACAACAATAGAAAAAGCCAATAAAACCACAAGACACCAGATTCTACCCCGCATTTTCAAAACACACATACTTTATGCAAATGGCTTAAACAATAACAATCGAGGCTAATATTTTAAAATTAAAAAACGTTGAACCACTTTCTAGAAAATTTTAATAGCTGATGTGTATAAATAGATTTCAAATGTATTTAAAATCGTAACTCAATTGAATTAGAGGCGTTACAAAATTAAAATCTTTTGATATTTTTTCAAAAAATAACAAAAATATATTCAAAAATATCTTTATTAATATTTATTTCGTCACTTTCAAGATTTAAATAATTTATGCTTATATCATTCATTTATAAATGCGCACTATCAACTTATTTATAAGCACTCCTGATGAAGTTGAGCTCCTTGAATGAGTTCCGACGTATTTCTTTGATAAAGTATTTGCCTGACGTTTTAACGACAAACTAATTGAATCCTCCTTGAAAGCGATGAAGAATTTGATCTTTTCCAGCCATAACACAAAGTATGATTTGATAACAAAAAGGCGAATGTGTGACTATATTTTTAGTAAATTGAGGTGAGTACAAAAGAGGCTGTTTTACGAAATATCACTTTTACTTTAACAAAAGTCTGAGCAGAGTGGTAGTTTATGATTAGTTAAAATAAATTATGGACGGCAATCAATTTAATAATTCTGTCGCATACAAGATTGGGGATTTTGAGTGTCTCTAACTGAACAAAATTGCTAATTAAATAGATATAAGAGTTGGTTTCACATTTGATCTGTAACTTATAGACGTGACCATGCTCACTGTCTGACGCATGCCTACTACTACTATTCATGCTCTTTCTATTCCATAAGAAAGTGTCTCTTAACCTTCGCAAGATACCTCTACGCATCCTTCCATTACAATTATGTTTACTTCCACTCAGTTCTGACATCCCACCTTATTTCACTAACTCGTTTACTACTCTTAATCCCATTTAACCTCCATTATCTATTTTCATATGGAAATTTGCCCATTCCCTATACCGATCAACCCCACTGAATCCTATAGAGTTTATTTCGATCTTTAAGTTTTGAAGAGCATAGCTACTTAATTAAAGGGAAGTCTAAAATGGCTCTTCTTTCGGAATAGGAGCTACTCATTGAAAGGCATTTTCATTGCTACTACGATAATCCCACGCAATTTTCATAAAACCTAGTATATTAATTCGGCGTCGAATTTACTCTGATTTATTCGTTAATTGAATACATTCGGAAAATCTCACTCAAATTTCAAGCATTACTTTGAATAAAAATGACGTTATTTTTAATAAAAACTAACCTATATGAGTTTCTAATTAACTTTAAATAAAAGCCTCAGCAAATATCAAAGACAGCATAACAGAGGAGGAAGATACTTTAACGCGTATTTTGGCATTTACCATGAATACATATTTCGAATAAATAATGATAGGACTCTTTAAAATGGCCTTCATTTTATCATCTACACATTTAAAACATAATATGGAAATATTGATGAATTGTGAAGCGACTGTCCCACACGACAACTATTCAAGTTGATGTTGAATTTGGAATTTACTTGAATTTCTAACTTAAATCATTTCATATTTGCAATTCTCTTTTAAATTATTCGGTATAATCATGAAATAAATTTGCAAAATACATCCGGACTAGAAGTAATTATATGGTCGAAAATAGGAGGGTTAAACAAGTTCCCCTGCAGCAATTACGAAAGGAGAGAATTGAAAAGATAATTGTAGTAGGCATATGTGATAAGCATAGAAGTCATGGGAATTTCCCAAAAGTTGTAGATAAAAGGAAGCAAACATCTTCAGTAATTGGATCAGTCTCTTCTTTGGGACCTGAAACGTACAGCTTTCATGGAAATTGAGCTTTCTAACACGCAGGATTACTCATGCTCTGGAGAACGAAGGGGAATGAGACCACTGCCAAAAGCGGTCATTTTACAAGATCCACCTTGTGTATTATCACTCGAATCCTTACAACTATTCCCAGGCTATTTGGTTAAGGAAATGGAAAACGTACATTTACTCCATAGTCATTTTTAACTCAATAGAAGCCATATGCGTAAGATTAGGAATCACTTTTTCATTACCGATATTTAAGACCAAAGCAACGTCTTTCGACTATCAGACTCTCAAGAGCGATCGCACATCGATTGGGTTTATGGGCGATTAAGAGACATCCCGTTGTCAATTCTCGTCTCGGGACACAGCGTTAACTCTAGCTATGAGTTTGGGTTCAAACGCTATTCGTAACTATCTGATTTTGGGTTATATCACTTAGAGTTATGCGACTAAGTCCTCATCGGTGTTATTTCCAGTGTATAACATATAATCTTTACAGTTTTATGCAACATTTTTTTAATTTTATAAATTATAATTCATAACAACCTTTTTACAGATTAGTTCAATTTTTTTCAATCAATGTCTTACTTCTTAGCTTCATCAAGAAAGCTTCATTTTTTTCTTTACATCCGTTAAATTCTTCGGCAATTTTGCCGCAGTACTAATTTTGGGAAATTGTGTTTATATTACTAGTTTTGTGGAGTACTCTAGACTCCCAAAACGTATCTCGAACAATTAATGAATCTCAAAATAGACGCCGCCCACAATCAATGCTTAAATTGTTCGCGAATTGACACTTCCGGTAACCGGAAGTTATCCCAAAGGGATATAAGTAGTACCCACCTAATAGATATTCATTGTGAACAGGATCTTCTGGCATGCACTGCGCCATTCTTCGTATCGTCTTATTTGTTCTCCTCGTCGCGTCAGGTCTCCCAGTTGGTGGCTGTTGGGGTTAGTCGCTTGCATTTATTAACTGCGATAACTTACTTCTACTAAATTTAAATAAGTAGTAATGCACTTATAGGGTCGATGAGTCTAATAAATCGATGCTTCATGCCCATCGACTCGGGAAAGTGTCGTGGGTACTTCATTCGATATGGATATGATTCTGAAACCGACGATTGCTATCCATTTATCTACGGAGGTTGTCGAGGTAACAGGAACAATTTCTTCACCTATGAGGAATGCATGCAAAGATGCTATTTGAAATTCAAATAAATGATCAAATTTGTTCTGTTTTATTTGACCTGTTATCAATAAAGTATATATATATTGTCTCTAAATGTCCCAAAATTGAATTAAATAAATTAAAAACATTTTTAAAATATTTTTCGTGCATTATAATGTAATGACTCATTTCTTAATTGAAGCGAAACATTTTCACGTATTAACCTTTGCTCGTTTCTATTTGCGGTTAAGTTGCAGTGATTTGGCTCTTGTATGTAAATATTTCAAACGTCGTAGTACGAAATTCACGATATTGTGTAACGATTCTCGCCTCTAGCTTAAACGAAGTAATTATGACTCAAATATTCATCTAATAAAAATCAAATCAACTTATAATAAAACCACGAGTATAAAGAATGCTACATTAATGGTATTACAGGACTTTATCTTAGTGCACCAGGGATGCGTAATAGACTTACCTCCACGTGGTGCTCCCTGGTCAACGTATACTTATACGGCAAAAAGGTCAATTGATCGGCAGTTGACTTTTGACTTCAAACCACTATGACCAGACTATTTGTCATATTCGACCCCTTCCACAGTACTCATCTTACCTTTTTTATGTCTTTGTGTCTGTCTGTCTGCCTCTTTTACCTCTGTGAATCATTATTCTGTCTTCCATCTCGACTTTTTGTCACTTTGATGTCCCTTCTCCTCTTCATGAAGCCCCGAAGTCAGCTCCAGGGCTAATGATAACTATCAAAACGCCTGCCACTTGATATAAATAAATATATATTAGTGCATCAAGTGGTGCGCCTTTGCGAGACACCCTCCCCCCCCCCCCCCCCCCCCTACCCCACCCCAACCAACGTCTTGGTCATAGTAGCCCTGTGGGGCCTCGAGTCACCAAAAGGAAGATGAGATCGACATCTAGTAATGGAGGCTGGAAACTCATTGGGCCATCACCACAGAGTTGCTGGTGACGGGCTGTTTTCTTATCACTGGAGGAGTTAAGTACTTAATATGTCCTCCATGCCCTCATCCACTCCGATAAGTTTTCCACCAATCACTTTATGCCAAGAAAGGATATTCCGCGTCCCTATCACCTGAAAATTTGACACTAATTTACAGTTCTCTTGTTCTTCTATCAATACATTCATTTCGATAAGATTTAATCGTGGCATCTTGAAGTGAGGAGGTATGCAACAAAACTCATTTGGCTGAAAAGTTTACTTATTGGTCAATTTTTAGTAGATTTATATCTCGTCATCTCAACGATTTAATTAGCTATGAGTGTTTTCGATTACCCTGACGTACTAAAGAGGTGTACAGAATCAGACTCTCAACATTCTAAAAGTGTGAGAAGTATAGTTGACGAAGAGCTAAAAGAGTGGGGATCCACCTTCATCTTCATTGCGTCAGTCCTCTCCATGTTAGATTCACTAGATTAAGGGAGAAACTTACCGATTTGGAGAGGGTGGGAGTGATGTGAGGTATGGCATTTCTAGTTTCCAAAAATATTTGTGCTATTGATTCATGCTCGATTGTTTGAATAAATACAAATAGTTCATAATAATCCAATGAAAAATAGGGTTATTTACGCCTATTTATAACTTTATGGCATTGTGGATGGGCTGTATCAAAATAGCAAACAGTGTTTGTGCCAGCGGGGTTTGTGGAACGAAAGCTCAGTCAGCTGTTACAACACACTGAAATGCCAAATAACAGAGCGTGCATGCGTTAAAACAAAAGGTCATTTCCAAAATAAAACCGGCCAAAAGCTCAATTCCACTCTCCTCTTTTTTTCACCACCACACGATTTACAAAAGTGCTTCCTCAGTCACAGATGGTCAACTCTTCCCACAACGCAAAACTTGAAGAGATCAGATATGCTGTTTCAGTGTAGTGAGGTGACTGATTATCTGGATCGTCGCTAGGGCAACACCGGTTAATCGATAGTCATATTTTACTAGACATGACAAAACAAGGAACTCAAAAATAACCAATTTTGCTATCTCTCCAGTCACTCGTTTTTAAAGGCGCTGATACTCTGATTCAACAAGACGTAAAAGAGCAGACTTTTGGCTCAAACGCACCGTTTTCCACCCTTAGAAAGTTTCAGCAAACAGCCTGACTGCAGTTTCATGTAAAGTTCATTAATATAGCAAATGACGAATGAGGACTATACTGTTCCATCATTGGGGCATGCGATAGATTAACCTCCACGTGGTGCACCCTGGGTAACGTATACTCTTACGGCAAAATGCCTATAACTCGAGAACACTGATATTTAAAAAGAAACACAAGTTTACCTTGATACGGTGAAAACTTACTACACTTTATTTCGACCCAAATGCAAATAACGGTAATAAATATTACAAAATGTAATATTAATTTCTCCATGAGACATATATCCCATATTTTTTACAATTATATTTTCATCTTAAGGTGTGCGATAGACTTGCCTCCACGTGGTGCACCCTGGGAAACGTATGCTCATACGGCAATAAAGTCTACAAACCGGCAGTTTACTTCTGACTTCAAACTGTTCCATCAGTCATGCAATGCAGAAATTGACAAAACGACCAAATGGCTCACTTGGGCATGCGGCACAAATAAATGACTTTTCGGCTCTTAACATCACCTTGATAAGCTATTATTATTCCTTAATTATTGAATGTAAATGAGATGAGATTATTTAATTGTCATAACCACCATTCCTGTTTATTAGAAACCTGACAAACTAGCTGTTTTTAGTTCATGAAAACTTAAAAAGTGCACCAAATAGCACTCACGCGTGTCACACAGCAGCAGACTGATGCCGCCGACGTGATGAGTTTTAGTGGTGCATCAAGTGAAGGCTATAGACACGTATTGAAACATGTTTCGAACGGAATTGCGCCTGCTGCTACGAGTCCAATACCAATGGAGCTAATTTTGAAATAGGACCATACGTGCTGAAGGGCGTTAAAGAGCTAACGAAATAGAAAAAAATGAATTGAATTGAAAATGCAATAAATTGTTGACTTCCTGGGTAGGCACTGACACCAGCGATGGCTTCTCCCATCACGTGGTTTTTTTTCACAGCCAGGTGGAGGGCACTTGGCGTCAAATCGAGTTGATGAAGCTTTCAATTGAGAGAAGAAGAGGACTTCAAAACAGTCGAAAGGACGTCTTGACACATTTACAAAGTATCTCACAACTTTATGGTCCAACAAAGTGCACTGCAATTCATCCTCCTTTGCTACAGTCGAAATTTTATGGTGATGTGACCTCTAAGTTCCAATAAAGAGTTCTTAATTGGGCACTTAGTTTTCTTATTGAAGATAAATAATTAAAGCACTGCAAACCACACAATTCTATTTATTGAAAATTCTACGAAAAGGAAAGTTTTATGAGTTTCCTGCAATTGAATCTAAAAAGGAAACATAATTCGAAGTTGGCAGTGCAAAAAGTATGAAGCGAGGCACCACAGCAGAATTACTCATTATTTCTACGCTAATCTTGTGCGATATTCACCATCACCGCATGGGTGGAGGTTTGTTGCCAATAGCTGCAACAAAGCGAAATTGGATTTGCGTAGAGGATTAGGAGATTCGGTTGGTGGGATAGCGCTCTATGGCTTGTTGTTGTTACCTCTAAAGGATCTTTTCAAGAGACTGGCATTGAATTGCATACCAACTGATTAGGGGATGTTTCAACCAACTTCCCGTATCTTATAAGCCCGACAGCAGCCGTAATTCGCCACAGGAGGCTTGTACCAGTTTTAAGCTTTCTATTTAGATGAAGTAAAAGTGGGATGCAGGTGAGAGAGAGAGAGGTGAGGGGTGAGTGTTGCGGTAAAATGCCGAATGCTTCGGCGTTTTTGGCGGTACTCTACTATTTCATTTCCATCTCCTGCTATGGTGATGGAAAAGGGGTTGAAGTGTAGGGGGGGGGGGAGTGAAGTTTATTATTCCCCACATGCTGCCGACTATTTAAAATCTCTAAATCACTCATTTTTTTCCATTAATAAACAACTGAGAAATCGTTTTGTTCCAGCTTGCCTGCCGCCTGGAGGTATTCAAAAGCGGGGAACGAAAATTTCACAAAGTAGAAACTGGATCCACTTGACTCTCCCTTTGGGACCCCTCCCCCCCCCCCCCCCCCCCCCCCCCCCCCCAGTAAATGAAATTTCTTTCTCAGCCCATTCATGGCACTTACTTCACCTTATTTGGGCAAATCATAATTGACCGAATGTCAACGAAAATTTGCATATTAATAGGTGAATTTTTGGGAATGCCAAAATTTATCCTTCTCTTTAAAATGAAATTCACCTTGCAATTAAGAAGGTACGCAAGAGGCTTCTTCATCGCATTCTTCGTCGACCCTTTTTTTCTCCAATTTGTGCGATCAACACATTCATTGGAATAGAGTCATTACGCGAGAAGTTGTTAATAAAGAAAGGCGATTTGAAGAAGAAATTGAGACAGTAAGTGAACTTTGGTTGAGAGAAAAAAATTGAAAAAGGAGCAAGGCTTAAGTGAAGAGTTCAAGACGGAGAATGAGAAGCATCAATGGAGGGAATCGAATGAGTCAAAGTCCGTTTGAGCCGAGTCCCAACCAAAGGAAAGGCCTCTTGGAAGATCTGAATTTTGGCCGACGAAATGTTGAACTACTCTCAGGTGATTAATTACCCACACTTGAAGAGATTGTTAGCATTTTCTATAACCGCATCAAAATCTTTGTCCTAATAGACAAATCTTAAACTTATGGAATTTTTTTGCGCGCGTTTTAACACTAACAAAGGTAATAGAGCTTTGCATCTCTCAGTCATTTAAATTACCGGAAGATAAGATAAAATCGAGTGATTGACTTGGGAACGGATTTCGGAAATGAAAAATTTAATTGTTACACTCAAAAGTGACATGTTTATGACAAAAGTCGGTATTCCACGTGTAGGCGGTTTGCTGACAAATAAGTAAGAATTCTGAAATTATAGAATTGAAAAAGATAAATAATTAAATGAGGGCGTTATGAAAATTCAGTATATTCACACGCTTGACTCGCAAAATGCGACTCAATTATACGTGCCAGGCCTTGTGTGTGTGTGTGTGTGGGGGGGGGGGTGGAAGAAATAGATTTTGGTACCTTTTTACAGATAAAAATTGACGTCCCCCCCACCCCACCCACAGTTTTGATAGCTATCATTAGCCCTGGAGTAAAAATTCCCCGTTCGTCAAATGTCTGGTCTTGGCTATTAAAAAACTGAATTAGGTGTGATCCGACATCATCCGCGTTGTTAACAATTTTACCATTTAAAGAGTTTTGCATGGAACGAAACAAATGGTAATCCGAAGGCGCAAGGTCAGGGCTATATGGTGGGTGTGACAAAACATCCCAACCCAGTTCCAATAATTTTTGCCGAGTAACCAAAGATGTGTGGAAAACAACACCCTTCCGCCGATTTGATAATGCCGGCCGCTTATCTTCAATCGCATCCTTCAGTTTTTCGAGTTCTTCAACATACACATTTGAATTTATCGTTTGGTTCTGCGGCATGAGTTCAAAATACAAAATTCCTTTGTGATCCCCCCACCACACTGACAGCATAATCTTTTTTTCGTGAATCTCTGCTTTCGATACTGTTTGGGCTGGTTGATCTTGCTTCACCCATGATCTCTTGCGAGTAACATTCTTATAAACTATCCACTTTTCGTCGCCAGTAACTAGGTTCTTCAGAAATGGATCATTCTCATTGCGTTTCAGTAGCGGCGAATCACAGATGCTAATCCGTTGCGTCAAATGAATTTCCTTTAACTGGTGAGGGATCCATAAATCAAGTTTCTTGACATAACCAAGGGTTTTTCATTTTTTTTCAATGCATGTATGCGACACATTGAGCTTCTCTGCAATATCTCGTGTTGTGCTGTGACGATTTGAATCGATAATGGCCTTGATATGGGTTTCATCCACTTCGACTGGGCGGCCAGATCGTTGTGAATTTTTCAGTGAAAAATCACCAGAACGAAATCTTTCAAACCAATTTCTACACTGCCTTTCTTTTAAGGCTTCATCTCCATATACGGCACATAACTTCTTTTGTGATTGCGATGCGTTCTTGCCTTTTCGGAAGTAATACAATAAAATGTGTCGGAAGTGCACGTCCTGTTCTTTCATTTTTAAATTGGGATAAAAACAAAACTAAAGAACTAAACAAAAAAATATTTTTTACTAATTAACCTAGAAGCCCATACAGTAAGAAAAAAATATAGATTAGATGCTCTGGCCACGTTAACAAAACAAAAGAAAGTATAGAGTGAATCCGTCAACAAAAACCGCAATGACTTAGTTGCCAACCCAATATTACTAATACAAAAGAACAATAGATGTATTCTATTTAGAAATCAAATTACTCATTTTATTTTAAGGTAAACAAAAGTATAAACAAATCTTACAAATGATAATAAAAAATATATCAGGGGTAAGAAATAGTTCTGTCTAATTATGATTGCGTGAGCAGGTCCGATTTGCATAGATGGATACATCAAAGTCGTCACTAGCGTATACTCCAGTCTCCAGTTCCTTTGCAAATTTCCTGAAGTACCACCGCTCCATCTCATCGTAGGCCTCCGGTTGGTAGTCACTGTGGAATTTGTTGGCGAAGAGGTGTGGAGCCCGCTGTAATTGAGCCACCTGCGGGTTGCCGAAAATGCACACAGAGCGAACAAGCTTGGTCTCGCATTTAATGACATAACCTAGCCAAATCACATACTTAGCCAAAAAGTTGAAGGCCACTTCATTCGGGGGGCTGGGAGTTACCAAGCAAGAGCCGGTGAGTTTCAAATGAGGATTGTAGTTGAGGGAGGAGAAGAAGAGCTCGTCGGGGTGATTTAATGCCTTGGGGAGCAGCAGGATGTCTCGAAAACCTTTGGTAAACTCAGCTAACACCGCTTCTTGTAGAAATTCCCTCCTGAATGCCCCATAGACAGATCCTTTATACCAATTGGCCTATGATCAAAAAATATGCAGATGGTTGACTTATCATTTGCGACAGGCACATGCGCCATGGTGAATCAATTTGTAGCAATTTGGTGCGCATTCAAAAATGGACATCCTTTAAACAGGCAAGCTCAAATTTAGGGTGGCGTGTCTTTCCTATTCTGAGCAAAGTTGACATTAGGATTGTCATTGTGGTGACCCAAAATAGAAGTTTGGTAAGTTAATTCCACATCTCAACTGCAATCACATCCAAGTAATGTACCATCTGGTCTGCAATGCTTAATCAGCTTCCCTAAGCTGATAAGCTGGACTGAGGTGAACTCAAGAGGCGCCGCGTGGAGAGCGTCTACTGTGGAAATGCTTGGCAAGAAAGGGAAATTAAGGTAAGACTACACGACTCTTAATCACTTGAGTGCAAGCATTCAGCACGCCAACTCTTTTCCTTCATCTCCAACATCATGAAAACAGCAAATGGAAAAGGATTCCGTTTGTCGCCTAAAGTCTCAAGAAATTTTAAAAAAATCAGAATACAGGCTTTGCAATGGTGCTGTGTTTTCTATTTATCTTGGGATCAGATGGAGTTGTGAAAAATTATGTTTTATTCACCTAGGGTTATCGCCGATTGGTGCGAATGATTAAACCTTGAAGTTAAATTGTTGTCTCCTTTCTTCAATCATTCAAAGAAAATGACTGATGTTCTCTCCAAAGGTTTCTTCTCTGGTTGGATTTTCTTCAACTTCTGGTTTTACGACAAAAACCGAGTCTCTGAGGGGTTTAGAATTTATTAGTCTTGCGCGTTACTTTCCACTCAGCAAAGATGTGAAAATTTTGACTCACCAGATGAGTGCGTCAGATATTTTTGAATCCGCATATAAAATAGAACTTAGGCAAGAAATAAGCTCAAGAAATAATTCCAAGGTCTTTCAAATTGGTACCATATATAACTTAAGAAAGTAAACATTTTAACAATTAAATAGCAAAAAAATTGGAATCGGAGGTATTCAAGTTGCTACGATTCGTAGAGCGAATAATTACTGCGAATATTTTATCAAATGGCAAAAGTGCAAAAGCAGAGATAAGAATTCACGTACACCGTAAGGGAGTGAAAAATCCTTGACCCATGATCTAAATCGATCGATACTGAACGATTCAACAAGATTGGAGCCATTGAGAGCCTTCAATGCCGCCTGTAATTCCAGATTTGTTCGAAGAGGGAACTCCTGTCCAACAATGTTCACCAGGTACTTCCAAGTGGAACTTCTCTTCAGAGCCTGTTCCGCACAGATTAACTGAGGCCTCAGAACCGATTCGTCTCCCCAATTAACTTCCACCCTCTTTTCCTCTGGAACTATCTCCACATTTGGTCCAAAACACGTGGCGACGCCCGCCAGTGCTTTCCGAAAGGCTCTCGGTGATCGGGAGTCCAAATGGATGCAGTAATAATTATTCACTCGATGTATCATGCGCATTAGTCGAGCAATTTGATGAATGTCCTTGTGAACAACGAGGGTAAATGCTATGTCCAAATCTCCATCTGGCTTGGGCGTCAACGGAAAGGCTTCACGGAATAATCGGCAATTGGGATTGGAGGGCGAGTCAATGGCAGCAAAGAACCTATCTCCTCGCATTCGAATGTGGGCGTTCACCTCCTCTGGGGAGATTTTTGGGGGCTGGAGGCGGGCACTTTTATCCCTTCGCGTCCACATGAGCATCACTAGTACAAGTAGGACGAGAACGCAAACCCACAATCTTGTTTCGCACTTTGTTGGCATCTCTAAGCTCATTAACAAAAATAAATAAATCAAATATCAAGCAACAGCTATTTTCAAATTGAAACATAAAAAATCATTTCCCAATTTCATCTAATGCTATTTTATTTTATGTCTCCCACGTAGCTGTTCAAAGAAGCAATTCTTCCTGAAAAGGCCATCTACCTCCCTTTGGCCTCTTGGGGGTGGGGGTTAGATCAAAGCCTACATCAGCTGATAAGTGGAGCTTTATTGCAATTTACCGTTCCAAAATTGCAGACCTATTAGTGCTTTTCAGTAGTAAATTACAGATTAATGACTGGCAATGAAATATCACTGGGATCTTCGGTTTGACCGCGAAAACTACTAGATGTCTTTGTGAAAGTTCTTCAGTGTCACGACAGCAAAACTTACAAGCGTAAAAAGCCGGTCTTTTGAAATCGATAATTATGAGTTAACATCGTTCATTTTTTTAATTTTTTGGAAAAAATTTTTGATTTTTGACGCCATCTAAAGGCTCAAGACTTTGCAACTTTTCCATTTTCGCTTATTCATGTACTCGCATTCCAAGTTCATTTCATGAAGCATAAAGGCAGAAGAAACGAACTGCTCACTTCCATTTTTAGTATTGCTTTGCAGAATCAAAGTTTAATGCCACGGAAAAGAAATCATACGGGAGTGGGTATTAAGGCGCAGGAACTTATGGAATAGCTTTTCAACCAGAGGAATTTCGATATTGTCCAGAAAAATTGTCTCACGTTCACTTCCATTAAAATTAAATATGTGTACATTTGTTCAAGAAGTGTTCGAAATTTAACTAGATAACATATGAAATGAAACCGAAAATTTCTTTAAATTTTAATCAACAGTTACGCTTTTCATACGCTTTCTTTAATTTAATAAAGATGACCACATTTTAAGTAGAATCGTCGATGTTAGAACGTTAGTGTCATATCAATAAATTAAATGAATTGAAGTATTAGGTGTTGCAGGTATCTTTGTAACTTGTCTGCAAATGTTATAGTTTTAGGAAGGTGATACTATCTTAAACCCAACTGCTCAAATTATGTGCATTAGAGGTCAAAGTTGTTGAACTCAGTTTGCTTCACCACAGAAGTTCTCTTGAAATTGCCGACATATCCCGTATTCCGTTCATAACATCAATCAATATTTTACTTCCAATTGGATGGAAGAGACACAAGCATTCAATATGAGATCACATAATTCAACTGCGATCATCATCAAAAGAGACAGGCTCATTTCATTTCGACAGCAATGGCGCGATTTAATGCACAAGAACTTATGAAAATAAATAAAATGCGGATCGAGTTCAAATGCGCACTCGTTGTCAACTCGAGAGATGGCCGTTTGGTATTTCATTTTTAGTAAAATTAAATTCGCTCTCCCAAAATGTTTAAGCAAATATATCGACAAATTTCTACTGACTCAAAAAAAGCATTTGAGTTAAAAAAACTATTTGATAGACACACACACACACACACGCACACACATAGATATATATCAACATATATATATTAGGAAGCCCTCAGTTTATGATAAGAAAGTAGCAAAATAAATAAAATACGGTTTAAATAATTATACGGAACTCACTGGAGGTAAATAGAGGGCTCATGTAA